ATTCAATTAGCGCCAGTTGTCGAGTTTTATGAACACAACTGAAACACGAGAATAAAGAGGTATTTTAGAAGACTCGAGAATGGTCAAGAAATAAGAGAACTGCGAGTAGTTGAATTGCTGGGGTACAGACTCAAACCTTCTAGATTTCTAAGATTGAGTTACAACGTGCTTGCACTATCCATTACGCTGCCCGCTAACGCGGAGGGGGCAATGTGAAATGGCAGAAGGATTAAAGCAAAATTTTAACATTAGGCTGATAGAAAGTTTGCAAAGACTGCATAAAGAAATGTGGAACTATTAGAGGCAAACAAGGCGGTATCGAAAACCCTGTGCACAAAAAATAAACTGCATTTGACGGTCAAAAAAACCGTCGATAAGAGTGGCCGTGCTTCACTGCAGCAGCGACTCTGCATCGGTCGTTTTCAATTTGTTGTCGTCGTCAAGCCATGATTACAAGGAATCAAGAACAACGAATACCGATACTGAGTGACCATAAACCTAGCGTCTAACCTCATACAGTCTCTGTTCCCGGCCTATTTATATGGTCATCCATCTCCCAACAAAAAACTCCCTTTTGCGAGATGACCAGCGGTCATAATTTCTGTAGCTTGTAATGCCGTTCCGTAAACAGCAGTGACAACAATACAGGTATGTGGAACTACATCTTCTATTCAAGTGATAATGCTCAAAAGATCTTGACTATTTTATTCAGCTTGAGGTTCCACAGTCCGCTTTAGTAGAGTTTGGCAGAAAACTTCTTGGAAGTTCTCCAAAAGGCCGTATTTTTTTTTTTGAGGCTATACAGTGCAGGCTGCCGTTCTGGTGAATATTTATCATACATTAATAAAAACGATGGATTTTCTTCTAGGTAAGCAACCATCCTAAAAGTAGAATAACAGGGCTGAACTCTTGCGTTAGTACCGGTTTTGTTTCCCTGTCTTCTACTGTCGGGGTGTTTCCCAGCAGTATGCACTTTCGTTCTCGCCAGCAGTAGATTTCTAACCCTGCTTTCGTTACACTATTAAGCTAGGTTTACGTTAGCATGTTAAATTTTTATAACAACTTAGTATGTCGACAATCTAATGCATATGTTCATTGTTGTACTTTCAGAAACTCCGAGTTCTTTTGAATCTATTATTTGAGTAAACGGTTCCCGTCTACTGTCTTCTAATCTGCAAGTTGTGCATCTGACTGTCGTATGACCCTTGTTAAATGAAAAATATTGTTATTGGCATCAAAATCCTTTTTTGTAGGTTATCCCTGAGGTACTGAGAAGGTAATATGGAAGGAGAGTATGAGCCAACGTTAAAAAATGTAATTGAACAGAAAACCTTGAGATGGATATTTGTTGGAGGGAAAGGGGGTGTAGGAAAAACAACTTGTAGGTAAGTGTTTTATCCGTTTTTCGTTTAAAAGTATGCATTTTTTCTTTAGAATAGCTTTCTTTTTAGTAAAAAACTTTCTTCATTTTTTGTTGTTTACTGAAGCTTTTCATAAAACTTGAAATACCAGTATAATTTGGCTTTTTCAGTTGTTCCCTTGCAGTACAACTTGCGCAGGTTCGTCGGAATGTTTTGTTAATATCGACTGATCCTGCCCACAATATTTCGGATGCCTTTGCACAAAAATTTACCCGAACTCCAACTGCAGTTAACACTTTCGATAATCTTTTTGCTATGGTATCTTCTTTTTATAATTTTGTTCAATTTTATTGTGAAACCACTTGCTTTTCGTTTCAAGACGGTATGGAGCACTTTCCAAGTGGTGCAGTAGTCGATTCTTGTTCCAATATTAATGTTTCCCGTTATAGGAAATTGAAGCGAGTTTTGGTGGGGATAGTTCAGCTGGTACAAGTATAGAGGCTGATGATGGTAATTATTTATTGCTGCTGTTTATTTTGGTGAATCTGGTGCTCTTTACTTTTAAATTTATTTTTTATTGTAGTTTTTTATGAAATTCCTTGGAGTATTTGCAGAATCCTTATTTTAGTGGGTCTTGACAGTAATTTCTGGTTCAGACAGGTAAGGTAAGGGAGATTAAAAGCAAAACGGAAATAAAAATTGGAATCTTTTCAGTTTGGTGGCCCCCGTTTTTCTTTGGTTACTCAAGTCAGCTAATCCTAATAATACATTTGGCTGTGTTCCACTACAATTAGTGAGGAAAATTAGGCCACCAAGCTGGAGAAGAACTGGAAAGTTCGCAGTACTGGGTTGAGGAAGTTGGGAGAATTAGTACAGTCATAAAATTCCAGCAGTCATTTTGTATAGAGGAATTGAAATGTCCTTTTTATAGAACACTGGCATAGTGGACAATTAGAATAATTAAAAAGCAGGAAGGGTTCAAAGCTTGTGGTACAAAAAAAGTGATTTGGAGATTGAGAAAAGTGATTGCAAAAAATTATTACAAATACCTTTAAATCTACAAAATAATTTACAATTAGAAGGTGATATCCTCTAAATGAAGGCTGTTTCGTATAGCAGAGAGTCAACCAGCAGTAAATGCCACAAGGTAGTGAAGATTTGGTGAGATAATTGCTTGTTTTACGAATTGATCACTTTTGTTTTGGAAAAGTTTTCCTTCAAGTTTGCTGATGTGAAAGTACTTCTTATGAGGTAATACATAGCTGAGGAGCACCGAATAATAACTCATTTAGCTTTGCATAGTTATGTTTTGACCAGAAACAGGGTATTGTGCTCTAAAATCTTTTAAAAATCTATTTGAGAATTTGGGTATCAGACACGTTCTTTTGCTTTTCTCCGCACTGTTCTTCAGAGAATTTTATGTATCTCGGCAAGCAGTTAGTTCAAGAGATAGTTGGTGGCCTACCTGGTATCGATGAAGCTGTTAGTTTTTCACAGATATTTAAGTGAGCATTTACTGGATTCATTTCATTATTTTTATTATATTACTCTAAGAATGTGGATTCCCAAAATAGTTATGAAAGAAAGGGTTTTTAGCAGAAAATAAAATTTTTTTACAAGTTATGGATGGGTTAGTTTGCTCTTTCACTAATTTTTGTTTACATTTTCCAACCTTGTAGCGAATAATTACTTTCTAGTCGGTTAAAAAATTAATTTTTAAGATTGATTGAATCCATGGACTTTGATGTAGTCGTATTTGACACCGCTCCAACCGGTCACACTTTACGATTGTTACAGTTTCCATCAATTCTAGAGAAAAGTTTAGGGAGGATTTTGAGCGTCCAGAATTCTTTTGGCCCTGTAGTATCTCAGGTATGACTTCCGTTACTTCCGGGGTTAATTTACTCCTAACTAATTCCTACTTAGATGAGTGGTCTCCTTGGAGCTGGTGAGGTGAACCCGGACCAGGCATTAAACAAGATGAAAGAAACTCTTAAAATTATCCAGGAAGTAAATGCCCAGTTCAAAAATCCAGTAAGGCATTTTTATGTCAGCACCATTTTTGGGAGAGATTTTAAATTTCCCATTGACCATTTAAATTAGCAGTCTTTGAAATCCTTACGATATTTCAGGACCTTACTACTTTTGTTTGTGTTTGTATATCAGAGTTCTTATCTTTGTATGAAACCGAAAGATTGATCCAAGAGTTGACCAAACACGTAGGTTTACATATTATTCTTGTTCACTGTTGGTATCTCGACATCTTCACTTTTCATTTACGGCCAAAGTTTTCAGCAGATCGATGTGCATAATATAATTGTTAATCAATTACTTTTCCCTGAAGAGGAAAATGGAGAAATAAAATGTAAGAAATGCAAAGCTCGGCACAATGTGCAGTGTAAATATCTTGAACAGGTAAGAGAGGTTAATCATTTTTTTATCCTTTATTATTTGTTGACTAATGTATAAATGCTTGAAGGTTCTTTGATGCTTTATTTGTAGATTGCACTGTTATACGAAGACTTCAATATCACTAAACTACCGCAACTTGACGACGAAGTTAGGGGCGTTGAAGAAATCAAGAAATTCAGCGTTAATTTAATAGTCCCTTATTCTCCAGAAAAAACTAATTAGTTTTTTTACTAGTTTTTCCCGGTGCATAGTGTTCGTATGAGCGCACAAATCCTTCATTTGCTTTGCGGTTTTAACAGCTTAACATTTTTACTTTCCAAAGAAATTTGCTAGAAGTTGTTTCAGAGGTGTTCCGGGTTTTCAGTTCTATGCATTTCGCATGACTGCGTTGTCAGATACTGTTTGAATTTTAGTAAAAATAATGGGTATAATTTCCCCATTTTTAAAAGATCCTGTATGCTTTGAAACGCATTGTTGGAATGAAACCTGGACTTGTTGAAATTAATCCTGAATGCACTGATAAACTCTGACGTGGCTAAATACTGTTACTTCATAACAGCCGTCTTGAACTGTGTCCTTATATTTTAATTAAAATATGTCCCGAATAGTGGTACAGTGTAGCTTTCCTACAGTCGCCGACAAATGTGAAGAATCCTGCTGATATTCGTTTATAAGTGCCCGGTCCTACCTGTGGAAATCATTATTCTGGACAGCCACGTGCTATTTTTTCCCACTTGACCGCTATAAGCAGTTTTAATGACCATCTGGCTTTAAAATGCAAACCGCTTTCACATGATTTTTTGCAGTAAAAAGAATAAAATTAGCATCAGGATAGTCCCTTCACCAATCTGTACCTCTCTTCTTGCAAAGGACACTGTTACAAAATAAAGTTCTTCCTGCAATTTTGCTTTTTGATTAGGTTTCTTAGTATCCAGCTATAGGGGGACGGAAGGAAAAAGCCAGTTTCTTGCATGATTCATATTCGCAGTCCCCCTTAACATACTTTGGCTTAATGTTAACTTCCTTTTTATAAAACCCGTCTCTTCCCGGCACTACTAAGTTTATGAAACGTTAATTGGTGCAAGAAAAATGACTTGGTTTTCAAACTGTGAATAAGTTGAATCATCTTTATAACGCTATGTAAACCACTGCGGCTTCTAACAACGCAAAATGACAATTACCCATAGCAAAGACCATAATTACAAAACATTAAACCGGCTGTGAAAGAAGCGTTTGCTTAGAGGAAGCAAAGGAGTTTACTTTATGACGCTTGCTCAATTTTGAAACCGATTTAATTAAGTTGAAAGGGCGATCAAAAACCTACAAAAGAAACTACTTTCTACTAAAGAATGAGCACTTTTTTCACCGTTAGTTATGGACCCATTAAAGCTCTGCCAAAGTATCTAAAATGGTACACGGTATCATTTACTTTAAGGCTTGAAGAGTCTGAGGTCCAAAAACGGAACCGGTTTTACAGTAACTAGAAAAAACTATTACGCTCATGTGAGATCATTAGAATGCAAGAAATCAAAAGTACTGACGCTTTAATTGTGACTACGACAATAAATTTTGCTCAACAGACCCGAGAAATTGCTTAAGAAATTTAAAGCATTACTCTTTCGAGTTCACATGTTACACGAATGATGGACTCGTTTCAGCAATGAGAAGGAGTCACACTTGAGCGGATTTTCAGATAGCGCCAGATGCTTTTATAAGGAAAATCAAAGCTTAAAAACCTAGCAAAAAAGATGGCTAAAAAATTTTTTTTAATGAACAGAACCCTTTAACACGCACGCTACGTTCTGGCTGATATTTTCGTCATCTTCTTCAAATAGACCAGGCTGGAAAGCGACCTCTTTCCGATCAGCACTGCAAACAAAAAGAATTTGAACAGCGAAATGTAAAACGGATGAAGCGTTTGAGGAACCACAGAAAAAGCGAGCGAAAACAGGTGCACAGTTATCTTTAAAATAAAAGGAAAGAAATGATTAGCTGACTTTGCTTGATTCCAATTATCACTGCTTTTATTTGCCACGTTGTCGCTTTCAGTCGGCGAGGCTGGATGGTTATTTCCTGTAGTTTTCATATTAGAAAGACGGGCTTGACGGGCAAGGAATCTCTGCCTTTGAAGTTGGACGAAAATTTTAGATGGCATATCAGGAATCAGGTAAGATATAAGTGCTTTCGTAAAGAATACAATATGCTAAAAATCAACGTTCGCTTAATCAATTTCAATACTCATTTACAACGAAGTTGAGCTCGGTCACTCTAGTCAGAAATACATATTGATTTTCAAAAATCTTGTTCACGGATACAGTTTAAAACATAGACGGCCTTTCTAAGACCTTTTTTCTGAAAGCAGAAGCCTTAGCCTAAAAATGACTAAAGTCGAACAGCTCACCTCAAAAACTAAGACAAAAGCTAAGCGGAAAGCCAAGACGATCCACCACTGCGTCGTTATACTATAATTTTTGTCGCAGTTCTCGGATTTGAATAAAGTACATGGTTTTTCTCTATAATCCCGAAATCTGAAAAAAAGAAAAAAAGCAGCAGTGCGGAAAACTACATTTTTAGAACCATGTAACACGAACAGCATCCTAATTGTTGTGTACCACTAAACTCTCTCCTTTCTGATTACTTCTATCCATAATTTACAAAGTGACGAGTCGCTTAAATAAATTTTACCCTTTTAGATCTTAAACTTCTTGACTCACATAGACTCAAATAACCTTTTCTGGCCGGTACAAACATAAGAGGAAGAAATGCAAATTACACAAGTGTTATTTCTAAACTAAGAATTGCAATTTATCAAGAACTCCAAGTTGCTAGTAAAAATTTGAAAAAGCTGAATGCTTAAGACCGAAACAACCCTAAAAGCAAACGATATTGTAGCACTGGTGTTTTAACAAAAACCTTTTTTTCCAGTGAAATTACGACCGTAAAGAAACCTTAAAATCAAAGTTGCTTCTAAAACTTTTTTCAAAACATCCAATGCAAACAGAAATGTGGAAAAAAAATTGGCGTATTAAGTGGTATTGATGCAGCAGGTTTGAAAACTACCTACAAACAGTGATGTTCTGACCAGCAAATTCACTCCATTTGACAGTAAGTGAAGAAGCATCGAAATAGGAGAGGGAGTCGTTAACATATCCATACAGCTCATCGTGATTGTAGACCCACTGATACACTAATTTCGGTATGAAATCACTTGTGAAAGAAATAATGAACGCCTAAAATACAGCAAGTCCCATTAATTCAAACGATATTAAATGAATACTCATTGTTTTCAAAACTTGATATTACTCTCTACTGTTCAATCCTTAGAATGCATTAAATAGTCAAAAAGTAAAATTTACATTTACGAGTACGGCAACCTTACTGATTCCGTCCAAAATACGCAACCACATGCCGATATCTTTAGCCCTCTCAGGCATTGGTCTTCTAGATGTAATAGTGAACTTGTAAGCGTCCATCCTAATTTCAATGATATTATTTATAAGTGCGAATAAAGGTGCCAGAGGGAAAGCAGACACAAAAAGCGTCACAAAACCGAATTGAATAACTAAACCATTAAAAGCTATGAAGGTATAATCATTAGTGATCATGAAATAGGCAATGTGCAGAAAAGAAACAAATGAAAAAAAGAATTCAATTACACCTTTTTTAACCAATAACACTAGTATTCATATTATGAAACTGAAACAAACCCATTTCTAGATATTCGTTAAAAAGAAATTGATCATATGTAGGATTCAGTACATAGTCCCTTTCGTACCGAGGAATATCCTCACTCGAAGTTCTTATTTCTTTCTTTTTTTGTTCTTCTAAACGCCTATTTTTTTGCACTTCCGTTTCACCAACAGCAAACCTCCACGTACGGAATATTTTCATCAGTACTCTAACAAAAGTTATTTTTAGATCAAAAACCGCGACTCGTCAAAGATTCAAAAAGTTGATAAAAATTTTAAACAGCAGAACTTTTAAGGCCGAAAACAAACCAAAAAGCAAATGTTAGTATAGCACCAGCTATCTAAACAACCTTCTGAGGTGTCAAAATAGAAGAAAAGACAAAAAAAATTTCTACCTGTTGAAAATACTTTGATTTTCAAGCGCAGTGATAAGCTTAATTTCCTCATATCTGTTCACAGATGTTAATGTAAAAAGATAATTGCTTAAATTATTAGAAAGTTTTGCCCCTTAACAAATTGAAGCACACCAGTTATAGAACTAAAGTAAACTGGCTCAGACTTCCGCTCCATCTAGTCTGTTCACGACTATTCCCTCTTTCCAACTGAAACTAGCGACCAAGATTAAAAATAACCTCCCTTTAAAAACGAGAAGTAGTAGACAACGCTGACTGCTAAAAAATGCTCCCTGTGCTATTTTTTTCAAAAATTCAAAATATGAAAGACCCATCCGTCTCTCATCAAAATACTGTACAACATAAGATTTGAAAGACTTAAAGCAATAACTCACGGGAGTGCAATTTCAACGAACGCACTAAAAAACTGTTTTCCACACATTATGATCGCTAGCTGTATGACAAGCTCTACCATACATCCTGCAGGATCACAACCCTCCGGACTCAAACCTGATATCTTTCCTCCAGGAACTCCAGAAAGGCTGAAAAGACAGCTCAATTTCCAGACTCAGTTTCAAAACAGACAAGTAAAACTCATCAGGAGAACGACTAGCAAAGAAACCATTTTAAAATTGCAAGTAATTTACGTACTTTCCCTTGATAAATGCTATGTAGAAAATTGACGAGTAATAATTAATAAACTGGAACAAATAAACTTTGAAGGTGTAACTGCTTTCAAAGCTTGCTTGAGTTCTCGGGCATTCCCATTCCGTTAATTTGTAGGCAAGAAAAGTATAGACCTAAACGTTCACTATCTTAAAAAAATATTCATTCTTATGAAATGACTTTGAAAAATTCAGCTGAGGACTCTATTAATGCACTTTCTTTCCAATTTCTTCGTCACGAATAACCACATATAACTGGCTAATTGCTCAGCATCAACGAAAGCAAAATTGTAAAGAAGTCTGTTATTAGAGAAAATGAAAATGCACCAACGTACATAGCTCATAATCAAAATAACTATCAAATTTAACACAGCTGCTGTCGAAAATGTCAACAGTGACGCATAGTTCTGTAAACTGTCCTGTCGATACAAAACTTGTATTAATACCGTCCGATAAATGATAACTCCAGCAACAAATGCCAAAACCAGTAGAAGCTACAAAAACTTCAAAAGATTAGATACCCATTACTGTTTCTATGCCCCCTTTGCCTCCCAGAGCGAACCCATTTAATGCCTACTATTTTGTACTGAAAAATTCAACCAACTGCTGAGAATATTAAACATACGAAAAATAAAACTGTAACACCCGATCCGATAAAACGGAGTAGCCGTAATTTTGTTGGCATAAAAGGTTCCCAATTTTGAGTAATTAAGTTGAAACGTTTTTCCTTCATGGCCTTCACCTTTACTTGATACTCAGGCCTAACTGTTTCCTAAACAGAGTGAAAAAAAAACAAATGAAGTAAAAGAAATTTTATACTAATACTGCTGAAATTAATTTCGAAAAATAGCGAAAAGTCATAACAAAAAACCTCATCAATTTCAAAGTCAAGCAAGCCCCATTTCCAAGCAAGTTCTGCATGATATCGCTTCCAGCCTTCCAAAAACAAAGTGGCAATGATACTCATTATGGCAGCAAAGAACACAGTTGATGAATTGTCAAAAACGTATGAAAGCTAAAAGACTATATCTAATAAGTCATTCAACTATATGAAAATTGATAATACCAGAAGGAAGTTTATACAAAAAAAATTTTAAGTTAGTAAAACATAACCAACGAGGAAGTAGCGGCTCACTTTAACCTTTCAAAATGAACGTTCAAGAGTCAAAAAATTGCAGAATATGCTTTCAAATTGATATCAGTATTGATGCAAAGCTCGGGGAAAATAGCAGACGTGGCAATACTTCAAAATTCCTACATTCTCAAACTTCCCACTGAGAGTCCCTACAGTTATAGGTCTTGTATTAATGTGGTGCAACGATGATTCCTCTTAAGCAATTTTGCCAGTCTTTCCAGCCTGAAAGTCCCAGAAAAATGGTTCCGCCGTATTTGCTCGGTTACTCGATAAGGCAGTTTATGCTTTCGCAGCATCGCAAAATCTTTGGGAAAAATCCTTTTGGAGTGTAAAATAAAATTAAATAATGCCAACAGTTTTGCATGAGTTAAACCGCACATACTCGTTTCCACGGCTGGCAAGAAAAGAGATCCTTCATTTACAAATAATTAAAATTCAAAAATAGTGCACTATTGTGCCTATCAAAGAAGCCATCACAAGTCTAAAAATATCGCACCATATACCCTGCAGCCAGAGTGTCCGCAGCCTTTTTACTACACCAATCTAGCCAAGATGTTTCCTGATTGTAACACAGCCTACACCAGATTTCACCCCTAAATCTCCGTGCTTATTTCTGCCTTCCTTCCAACAGCACTTTAAAAATCGCGGTTGACATCTGCAGATTTTTTAGGTTTTTTTGCAAACATTTTTGCAGTAATAAATTTAAAAACCGTAAGCAATTTCTTTCCAATATAGGAATAGTATCTCAGGTTGTAATTTTTTATAAGCTTCCCAACTATAACCTTCTGAAAGATACATTTAATTTTATGCTGTTATAGTTTATATGTAAAAAGTTTTGCTTTCCTCGCTGTTACTGAATAGATGAATTAGTAACCATTTACATCAAACCTTTGAATAAATGCAACTTGAATTCAGCCGCGTGAAGTCACAGTACTCGTTACATGTTGGACACATGAGTATTTCTGCACCGACCCCGTCGCTTCCACAAATATCATTACTAGAAAAAATATTTAAAAGTAAAAGATGACTAGATACTGAGATTTCAAAAGGCTTGTAAATTCAATCTTTTACCTTGGGATATCCTGAGAAAAAGTAACTAAGCCGTATAAGAAGAATAAAAAGCCAATTAAGGAAGCGGGCATTAGAATCTTTGTGTAGTAACCTAGCCACGCAAAATATATACCAACTTTCGAGCCGAAATATTTCCTTTAAAGTACAGCATCATTTTCTAGCATAATAACAGTAAAAAAAGTATATAAAATCAGTAGACAGTACTTTCTTCCAAACTTTCGGTAGATTCGAAGCAGATATACTGCAGGACTTATTAAGCCACAACTTATGCAAAACGGATTGAAACTTCGTTTGCAAATGCAGCTTCATAAATAGTTTTCAATAATTACTTGATTAAACTTAGTGGCTGGTATTTATAAAAATTCCCAATCTGAGCCCACTTCCAGTACAACATTTCACGATTACTACATTCCTTCACGTCATAAGTTTCATTTTCACATGCCTAAACGTGAGACGCAAAAGTACACACAAGTCGCAAACTACATTTGCTACTGAAATCAACCTTACTTCATGAAGAGGATAAGCTGCTGTGTAAGCACCGTTCTGCAACAACCTTGAGATGCCAATCCGATGAGTAATTTCTTCATCATCTTCACCGTACTTTGTTCGAATTAAAAGATCATAAACCATACGACTACGTTCAGACCCGTCGAAAAAAGTATCAGGATTATCACTACCAACATAACTAAAGAAAACTACTATAATCATCGGTCGCAGCAAAAAAGCTCTCCAGCTAAAATTTTAGAGGTTCTAAGATGTACCATTTAATACGAGAAGAAACGAAAGGCGCTGTAAAATAATTCGGTTCTTTCAGCCTCTCGTTTGTTTCCTGATCAAAATTGAAAAAAGTGAATCTTCTCAAAAATTTATCCAGCACACCTTCAGTAACAGTCCTTTCCTTAAACAAACTGAATAAATTAAACAATTAGCCATTTAGACAAATAATTTAGTCTCGTGCCGTTACCAATGGTAAATCTTCATTTCGACTGTGACCTGGAGAACACCAGCCAAAAATTGCAAAGTCTAGAAAGTAATATACAAAATTCCCCAGAGAAAGCTTAATCTATACTCGTCAGTATAAGAAAGTTATTTCGAAAAAAAGCACTTTTAACACTAAATTCTACTTAAACGGTAACTTGATAACTGCGCCCACTACTCTATTTCTTAAGCACAAAAATTATATCATTCTCTCCTTATACTATGTTCCTTGAAGCATAAACCACAAAAAAATCTAATTACTAAAAAGAATAACCAACTACCTGGTGAGTAAATTCAACTGTGGAACACAAGTATACAAGTCTAACAAACTGCGTCAAGACGCTCTTGAACTTATCTCAAATTAAGCAGTAGAAGAAGTTAGCAGATACAAAATATCTATAACAACTTCATCAACTCGCTGTGACCCCATCTTGTAATTACCGTCATTCTTAATTGACAGAAAAATTGAAGTAAAAAAGTGCAGAAGAGAATAAGTAAAAAAGAACAATTCGTTTATTATTGTCTGAAACCCTAATAATCAACTTTATGACTGCATTTAGTTTCCAACATATTGTTTATATTCTTGAAAAGAATTCTTTAAAAGCAGCAATCCAAAGATAAACTACAATGAAACCGATGTAAAAGAAATATAAAAATGACAAATAAATCAGCAATTTTTGCAAGCCTTTAACTTTTTTAAAAACTGATTAACCTTGATAAAATGAAATCTGCATGCCTTTTGTAAACAAAGAACTGCCACTACTATTGAAATAAAAAAATTTAATTAGTTTAGCTTCAAACTTTATTACGAAAATCATAATTTATTCAACAAGTACAAGCACTAGTTACGCTGAGAAATCAAAATGGTTGTTGACGTTTTCATAAATTACCTTAACATCACTTTCCAAAACTGGCATTTTGACAGTCAAAGTCTCCGCTTGCTTCATTAAAAGTTTAAATGGCGCATGAATCAAAACGAAACGAGTATTCTGACAATACTATAATAAATTACCGGTCAAAATATACCCTAAAATCTTCTAAAAAATTTAGGTAGTAAATGAATTTTTGAAATTTCTAATAAAGAATAAGTTAAAGCAGCAAACACGGTCTTTAATAAACTTAAAAAGTGCTCTGCTTTTTAAACATAAAGCTCATTCCTCACACGTATTAAGGCAAACAAAAATAAAAGAAAAACGTTACACTTTTTGAAAGAAGCATTATACCTTGCCTTCAACGTCTAAAAGGTCAAGGCCGAGTGACCTCAAATTCTTTTCATATGTTTCTCTTTTTCTTGCTTTCGGCGGTAACTTTGTACCCTAAAGATCTGTTTTTTACATCATGACTTTCCTGTGCCAGTTGTAAGAATTGTGGGGGCAACAGAAATCGCTAAACAGGAAGATAACTAACCAACCTGCAAGTCACCTTCTGGAGTGTCTCCGCTATCTCTCCTTTCCAGAAGGTCTTCCGTTGAGTATGCCAGAACATAATCAATTCTCCGTATACCATCTGGGAAGTACATGTCACTAGATCCATGCCCTACGACGGCATGCTAAAAATCAGATTTTCAAATCGCGACGACGAATAATACAGAAAAAATTAAAAGATTTCTTTTTATTATAACAGCGCAAATAAGTATAGAAAGGGCTGAAAAGGTAAAGATCATTTACCCAGTGTTAGAATGGCTGAACTCTAGGAATACTTCTCACAATAATTAGATTGAGCTCAAGTCATGATGTTTGCAAAAAAATAAAATTGGGTTCCAACTTAAAAAAACTTCTTACCATCTTCCCAACCTGAAAAATTTTCCACACAGTAAATGCTTTGAGTTACAGCGCAGCATAAAGTTGAGAGTTTTAGAACAGCGCAAAAATTAGGTGCAAAGACACTAAGATTATTGGAGTAAAAACAGGTTAGAAAAAATATTATAAAAGACGTTGGAATTCCTCAACATCTCTAATAAGAAGTTAAGCTGTATTAGAACCAGTTTAAGCAAAGGGGCTTTTTAGAAAAGTAATTATAAGGTACTATCAAATAAACAGTGCGAAAGAAACTTGCATCGGGTAGTAACTAACTGATAGATCTGCCGACATACAGAATTTGTATAATTCAAAGAAGAATGCCTTCTGCGTCACACTAAACCATCTAGCATTCAAATATAAGTCTACGACTTTGAAAAGCTCTAGAGGGATAAACAAATTTATTGACAACTGAGGCTATCTTATGAATTACACTGTTAAAATGGGTCCTTTCATCTGGCGCCACATAAACCTCAAAACAATCACAAAGCTGGAACAACCTACTGCATCTTTATTTACAAGAACTGAATAAATTAGCAGGACTAGGTAACAAACCTTTCTGCCTCTTTCATTAGGGATTTCCGTTGACGTCTGTTTCGGAAAATCACCGCCACCATCGATAAAATCCTTCAACGATATATCGTCCTTCTCCATAACAGTACTGTAGTCAACGTCACAGTCTTTCAGCAAAAGGGTGCTGCTTTCGCAGTACTGATTATCATATCCGTCTAAAAAAAAGATAATAAAAATTAAATTATGTTGCTAATAAATGCCAAAAAAAAAAAAAATCAATCTACTCTCAATGACTGTAGTCAAAACATCAGAAGATAAAAAATGGAGCACTTTCCAAATACACCAAAATATTCATATATAAAAGTGCAAAGAAAACAATATTATCATTATTATTATTATTATTAATTATTAAATCATTATTAATATTCTTTTTTTTTTAGATAAGCCACTGCCCCAGGAAAATGACTAATTTAATAAAACTAAGTATCATGTTGAACAAGCGAAAAAAAAAACAGTTAGCATCACTAAAATTTCATCGACTAACGTATTAGTTACCAAAAAAAAAATAAATAAATAAATAAATAAATGAAAATTTTTAGTAAGTCTAGTTACACAGCGCTACTTTTTGCTCCACTTATCAACTGAACCAAAATTAATCCGTTTGTGCAATATACTAATGAAAAACAAATCAAATTAGTTCCATCAGCTCATACAATTTCATATCCCCCTACCAGCAACGTAAATTCGGAAAGAGGAATCAAAATAAAATGTTGGATAAAACAGAAGAAGTCGAAACGATCTAACTGCTTGAAAATTCTACACCTAACTGTTATAAGAAAACTAAAAGAGAATTTCATTTCCAAAATAAAAATCCAACCTTCCACCAAAAAGTTGGCCATACCAATTCAAAGTATAAAAGCAGAATATAAAATGTTTTTCGGAAGAGTAATGTTTCTATCACTTTTCAGACACAAGCAGAGACAATGCTAAGGAAAACACCAAATTTTCAACTGATAAGTAAATTGTCAAAAAAAAAACTGCATTAACTTCCACTTACTAAACGAGCAAACACCAAAACTGAGAACCAGAGGCCGCCGAAATCGTGAACAAAAGTGCTACAAAAGATAAACTAGCTGAAAAGAAGAAACTGATAATTCCCATCACAGAACTTTACAATGACAAATGGAGCCCTGCCAAGTGCGTTATAAAAATTTAGGGTTCAAAAATAAACGGCATCAACATATGGCTCAAAACCATTGCTTCAGGGCACCAGTCGCTGCTGTTTAGATACAAACGAACTCCTGATAGAAATGGTTAGTAGACAATTTGTCCTAACAGTTTACACAAAAGCCCCGCATTTCATCCTCTAAGCGTAATCAGCGTACACGTGTTACGAGATCCACAAATTAGTAGTGGTTAGAGACATATGTTGACTTGAAAGCCTAAATCTGACATTTTCAGAGACAAAAAATCACTGTCGAAGAGATTCTCACTTACTAAAGGGCCTATCCCCAAGCTTTCAAACCGGAAAAAAAGGTTTTCCCGGGATATGGCAGTTTATTCGTCCGTTATGGCTGGTCGACACGATATCATATTTGATACGGTAGGGACTATGAGGATATCGCCAGAACCGTTCCCGGGAAAACGGAAAATTCCTGCTGGTCCTCGTAGTTGTTTCACATTCTTTAGCGCCTCTTTTGCTGCTTCTCCAGAAATGTTGCGCTACCTTTACTTTAACACCTTCTCGGTAATGCTAACTCTTGCAATTTGACGCCTCATCATTATCCGTAATGATTTCCTAATAAAGAGTTGTTATCAAACCAGAATGTGGAAATAGTCCCGTAACCGGAGATTTAAAGAATGCGTTGTACTGCGAAAGCTCTTCTAGAGCAACGGACTTTTAACTACCGAAGCACTGTCGTAAGCTGTAATGTATCTTGGTTTAATGTAAATGAATAGAACGTAGATCTTCGGCGACAGGAAAATTCTGAAATCGTTGCTGAAAGGTCACTATTACATAATGATGTTAATCGCAGATACGTCACTACTTTGATAATTCATATTTCTCTTAAAGTCACGTAGCCAAACGTTGGTATTAAATTAGCCAATAAGCCAAGTGATTTAAAAGCTTGGTGCACAACGATGAGAAAGCCGGCTGCTGAACCAAATGAAGCGAATACTGTAAAACTGACAGTTCCGCTGAAAACCAAATATTAACAGTATTAACATTACACTTTTATATTCATATGCCTAATTGTAACAAACTGTATTCAGGACTCAGCATTTCTGAGCCTGCTCTTTAGACCTTTCAACTTCACTCGAAAGAAAGTCAATGTAAGGTTTAGTTTCAGGATCAACAAGTTTCAGGTTCTATAGTATTTCTGCTCAAAAACACCTTCGTAAACACGCGGCAGCTCTGTAGCAGCCTATTAAATTGCAATTTCAAAAGCTTCTTCTCCTTGTAAAAAAAACAAAGACAGGAGCTGTCCCTATCTAGTGAGTGTACTCTACTTTAAGATGAAATCTTAAAAACATTTGATGAGGAATTCAAAAGATTTTTATAAAATTTTTTCAAAAGAATACAGCTTTTTACTCTGAAATAACAATGAAAAGTAAGAAAAATATGAGAAAAAAAATGGAATATAACAAACTGTATTTAACTGAAAAATCATTATTAATGAAGAAAGCAATTATTTTTGTAAAACGTTGCAAAGAAACGCAGTAGACTCTCTTTTATCAACAACAGAAAGAAAGATTAATATTTCACCACAAATAACTAAAAAGAGCCAATTTTGAATCCGCAACAAAATAAGGATGTCTTCAAGGACATTTACCTGACCGCTTTTACCAGAAAAGGCAAATATGAAGAAATTAAGACATGAAAAGCTTCTGTTAATTATTCACCAAAAATCCAGAGAAGACTGAAAGATGAAGTCAAGAATGGTATACCTATTATCCTGACCTTTAAAAAAACAATATTTCCTTCAGCGGAGCTCTCGAAATACCAACATTTTTGTCAAATAATGCTTCCTCCACCGTTATTCTACAATTCTACACTTATCGTAGTTTTGTAATAAGTAGCTTAAGAGTATATCACATATATATCAATATATATATATATATATATATATATATAT